CCTGAAAAAATGCCTTTTTGAAAGCCTAATGACTCATCGCGTGGTAAGGAATCTAAAAGATTAGACAGAAAGAAGGCAAAAATTTGTAATTTTAAAAACTAATAGAATACAATGTCCTCATACGAACCATCCAAAAATGTTATATCCTCCCTTTGGGCCCAAGAAGAGGGTAATATCTCAATTTTGGCTATTATGCATTTTTACACTAAAACCTTAGAATGGATATCTAACTAAGCTTTTTGTTTTAATTGCAACTTTCATTTTGCGCTTGCTCCATTTAATTTTGATCAAAAACTCTACCTCGCCTGAACGCAAAGGCATTTTGAATTTAGCATTATTGTGTATTTTTACACCTGTTGATTGCTTCAAACTTAATTATAGCTAAGATGATAAAAAATCTTCTTTTTTTTTTATTATCTAAAAAAGCATTCAACGAATCTTACATTCATTTAATCGAAGTATCACAGGAACAATTGGACAAAAAAAAATCCATTTAAGTTTTCAACTGATACTTCGATCTATTTTTAATATCCTTCACAGCGTTTTCAGTTCACTTCATGCACTTGTTAATTGCAAATGAAGATGATATAATAATGATATGATATTTGTAAATAAATGCTGTTGTTATCAGCAAACATTCATAGCAAAATTTCAAATACGAAAAAATCACCATTAATATTTCTCCATTTTCCTAATGAAAGGTCAATATATAGATAATATATTTAACATTCAGTTTTGATATGGCTATGAAATGAAACTACAAGTCGAATTCTCAATTCAGGTCAGCTTTAGTATTTTAAGTTTTTTGAAATTCTATTTTTATCTTTTCTCCTAGGTATCAAATAGCTGTTGGGTGTGATGGGAAAACTACCAATATTCTCGATTTTAGTAACTGGGATATAAATGACATCATCCTAATTCCTAATTTAGCTATGGAAACAGGCAGTAATGTTGTAGTGACTGTAAGGACGTTCAATAAAGCAGGACTGTATAGACAAGTGAGATCCGATCCAGTCATAATAAGTCCAAATCCCAAGCTCTATGTTTATGACGGTCCAACAGAAAGTGATATAGACTATCAGAAATCATTGTCTTCACTGGAGGGGAACTGGCGATATTCAGATAATTGTCACATTAAATCGGTTGACTGGGGAGTGGAAAGCATCGACGGTAAAGTTGTACAAAAATTTCAACCTGTGCCATCTGCCTTACATCATTTCTACTCCGATCTCATAAACCTAAAAAATGGGGTAACTTATAAAAACATTATAAGAACCACTGATGCACTGGGAAGGGTTCGTGAGAGTAGATCCGATGGTCTCACTGTCAAAATTCAGCCTCCTTCCCCTGCAACCGTGAGGGATGGATCAGAAAATGACCGAGACTATCAAGAGTCCACAAGCGAACTGCATATCAACTGGGACCCATTTGGTAAACCGAATAGCAGAGACCCAACAGAGAAAATAGTAAGGTATGAAGTTGCTCTGGGAAATGATGTGCGATTCGAAGAGACCAGATGTAATGTTCACTATTTTCTTGACGCAGGACTTTCAAACAATTATGTTTTCAAAGGTCTAAATCTTACATCGAAAACTGTAACATATTATGCAACAGTACGGGCATATAGCCAAGCTGGAAGCTACCAGGATGGAACATCAGATGGAATTAAGGTTGGTTTCAGAGAAGTATTAACAGAAGGTCATGTCGAATATAATGTTGCCCAATATATGACTGACAGAATATCCGTTTCCTGGTCGGGCTTTGAGGCAGATATGGGTATTGATCACTTTGAAGTTGGTATTTCATCGAAATCTCCATCTTACCCCAATGGAACACATGATTGCCATACATTTAGGGATTTTGGTGAGGTTTTTGACACCAAGAAGATGGAAGGAGTAGGGAAGGACACTTTTAAAGATTTAAAACAGTTATCTCTTCTTCACGGTCACAGTTACTTTGTCACTGTTATTGCGGCAGATGTTACAGGCAAATGTGTTGGAAGCACTGGCAAAGCGGTCATTATTGACACATCGCCTCCTGAAAAAGGGAAAGTTACCATTGGAGGAAAATATTCTGATAATGTTGTTTACATCAAACATGAAGATCAGATAACTATTGAATGGAAAGGATTTCAAGATAATGAATCTGGTGTTTTAGACTATGAGGTCAAGTTGTATTCGTCAACAACATGCTATGATGGAGGTAGTGACCCAGAAAAAAACACAAATATTTATACTCTAGAAAAAGCTGTAACTGTCAAAAATGTAAACAAAATAACGTTTTATGAATTACCTCTAAAACAATTCAAAACCTACGTTGTCAAAGTGACAGCTAATAGTAGGGCTGGACTCCAGACTTCAAGTTTGTCGGAACACATCAGATGCGATACAACCCCACCAACAAAAGGAACAGTCAAAGTTGGTGACAGCTGGTTCAAAGAAGCTGCATTTCAGCCTTTTACAGATAAACTAAATGGAACTATTGCATTAGCACATTCAGACATGGCATATCAGTGTCAAAGTCAAAGACCATTGGACGCACAAAATGAACTGGTACCTATGAAAGGGCGTTTCCAATCTGAATGTGTCCTGATATCTGGATCCAAAGTGGAAATTGAAATCCGTCATGATGATAATTTACGCGGCATTATAAAAGGGGGTGTAGAATCGATGAAGAAAGAAGTTATAGCGGGAAATTATTCCAGTAAACTCACAACTGCTAGAGGCAAACAAATGGTGACTTCAATTTTTCTTGCGACTGGATTTCAATTTGTTAAAGAAACATTACATTTCCAAGTTCAAGAAAATCAAACTGACATCGATTATGTTTTAAACAATGCTTCATCTGATTCCTTTCCAAACATAACAAATTTTGAAACGTCCAATACGGAAATGATGAATGATTCGAAAAGGCTAAATAAAAGTATAGAGTACTCGGGCATGTCCAAAAATATCAACCATACATCAAATACGGAGAAGAGTTCTGTTTTAGGATTGAATGATATTTTTGGCTTTGGCTTTCATATACCAGGGTACACAATAGATAAGCAGTGGTTTGTTTTTGTATGGGTATTTGACCAGTATATTTCAACATCAAGACAAATACCAGTAGATTTTGACCCAACCAATTCAAATACAGAATATACTATCCAATTAACAAACAGCACATTTGTTGGAAAAAATGTCTGGAATGTTAAGTTTTTCATACGATCTGAACAGATAGCAGAATTTAGTGGTTTGCGATTTGAAGAATATGGTACGTTTGGTGTCTATAACTGGAACGAAAATGAATACGTGCCACCTATAGAAAATATCGATTTTCCTATTGCATTTGAAGCTAGCAGTACCATAGAGATCATGAAAGAACCGATTCCTGCTGACAAGCCCTGTATGTTCGGGTCGTCATTTTTTGAAAAGGACAGTTTTATTCAAGAGTTTTGGGTTAAGGTGTCTGAGTATGAGAATGAGACAGATGCTTCATTTGATGGTTATTTGTTATATGCTACATTCTGTCAAAAATGTGCTGAAAATTGCAATATTGGATGTAGGCAAGATTGCAAGCCCTCCACGACAGAGTTTGAAATATTACAATTTACCATTGAAAATCTTAACCTGACAGCATCAAAAATGTCTGGCGATAGGACAAACGGAAGCGCTGTTCAATATGATTCTACAACTTATTTCATCCACACCTTAATTGTCAATTCTGCAGGCATCACTACTCATTCCGCTTCTAAGGGTGTAATTATTGATAACACCCCACCAGAATTTAATTATGTCCGATGTGTAGATCCCCTGTCTTCAACAGAGGAACCCTCCCTCTATCAGGGATCCAATGACAGCTTAAGAGCATATTGGGATTGCAAAGAAGATGTTGGACAAATTGTCGACTATAAAATAGATGCGGGTACATCACCAGGTATGAAGATAACGTATTTTAATTTTAATTCTTCTTTTTATTGAATTTCTATTTCTCAAATATTAATCCATTACAGAAAATAATGACATATTGAGTGACCTACTCGTCGGAAAAGGAAGGAAGTTTTTATCCTCTGATCTGAAGGCTCCTTTGGAACACGGTAAAACATATTATATTACGGTGAGGGCTGTGAATTCTGCTGGTATGGTTGGAAGTGGATCCTGTAATGTTACAGTGGAATTATCACCACCTGATGTCGAAAACCTTATTGTGCAAAACATGTTTACCCAAGACGATGAGGAAACCTTTGATGTTTCATTGTCAACCAGCGAAATTGGACTTCAATGGCAAAATGGCACAGATGACGTTGAATTTTATGGTAAGATTAAAAATTCTAAAACTATGCCTTTTGTAAGTATATAAGTAAACATTTCATATACACTCTTTATCACCATATTTAGAATGGCAGATTGGATCTGAGAAAGATGCTGACGACATATTTCCAAGAATAAAAGTGGGACTGACGGACTCCAAGAAAGCATCTATTAAAGGTGGTGAACTTCTGATTGATGATATATCTCTAAATGCAACAGTGGGCGCCTTTGCCTCAAAAAACAAAACCAATCATAAAGATGTACCAAACCAGTCGTTCTTCAACATGGAGCCAGGATTATGTTTGCATATTAAATTGTTTGCTGTTGGGAGGTCACATCTATCAAGCAGTGTACTTCCTAAACCGACATGCATAATTCGTAAGCAAAATAAAATGCATGTATTCGGAATTTCATAACATCACTGCATTTTACTCTTGATAATTATATCAAAGCAAATGGTTACCTCAGATTTTTATTTCTGAATGATGTATTAATTACAGGTGGACAGGATGAACAGATTGATTTTACCAAAACAACGAAGGAAACGTTAAACGATCCACTTACTTTAATGCCTGTATTGTCAATTACTGGTAATGTTTTACCACCGTTTTCTTTCGACACTCGATACCGTGATATTTATCCCTTTATGTAAACTTATCTAGATTGAAAACCTGAAATAATTTTCATAACTTAATATTTTTTTTTTCATTTAAAGGTAAAGATAATATAATACTTGCTGGAATGCTTTCAAAGTCGGATGTCATGCGTGATTATGGTACTGCAGCTTCTGACAGGTATAAGCGGTATATAGTGGATCCAATTGACACCCAGAACAACACCGAAAGAAGTCTTCAGAAAAGGTAAAAATTTAAAATAAAATGTAAAATGCAACCAGTCGAGAATGATTCTGAAACATTTCTATTTTTTAATTGCTTGAATGAGAGTGTTTATTCCGAATGCTTTGAAAACAGATTCATTGGCAATACGGAACATATGTTTTACCTATCACCAATAACCAATATCGAAAGCAAGTTTATATTAGATTTGCCATTCAACCATCACAATTACGATGTCAATCAAGAGCGTCCCCTCTTGGTCTTCTGGAACAAAGGTACGTCACATATGTGTCTGATGATAATAAAGTGCTAACGTTTTAACCTGTGTTTTGCCTTATTTTTTTATTGATATTTGTATATTTTTTTCAATAGAAAATGAGAAATGGGAAGATGTTGAAACAAACTGCAAGACACCATCGGCCATTGATTACCGGAGAGGAACAATGACAATACAGGTTTTTATTCTCATTATGGTTTACATATAATTTGAATTGTTAGAAGCGTAAGTCACCCAAATTATCTTATTCTTAAAATTGTGATAAAATAAAAGAATGAGGGTGCATTTCATTGATATTTGGTATAGGGTGCATTTCTTTGATATTTGGCATGAATTCATGCGCACTTGAAAATTTCATTGTTCCATCACATGATATTAAAAGTTTCGATGTATTGTATTCCTGTGATCTTAAGGAAAAGGAAATATTTTTCTGATTTTGCGTTTTGATCAGCTTAAATATGCCTTCAAATAATGGATAAATGAGTGATTTTGTACTAAATGTTACATTTTAAAAGAAGTATGTACAAGGTTGCATAGCTGGTTTGTTTACTTATTCAAATTTCTCTATTTTAACTTCAGTTTACTGCATTGAAATTATATGAAAATTCTTAATATCCAATGACAACATTCTTCATAGTTTAACAACAAACAGTATTAGTAAACATGCACGAGTTCTGTTATTGTTATGTTTATGTTTTATTGGCTAGTGTTTGATTTGCTAACACTGCACATGCTTCAAACATCCTTGAACGTGAACATACGACTCTGGCTTTATCTATTCTGACTTCTCTTGATTAAAGTTTTAATATCTTTTATTTACACACCAAAAACTACTTCCCTTTTTCAAATTTTAGTTTGTGGAAGTGTAAGAATATGTTTCATCGAAATCCTTAGTTAAAAAAAATTCAAATACTTAGTAAAAGAAGTATCTCAGCACGCTTATATGATATATCTGCAACATGAAATATAAAGATGACGAACAGTAATCAATCTCGAAAATTCATTGAAACAATAAAAATCCGGAGCAGAGGAAATACGGACCTGTAAAAAACATCAGGGGTGGGACCAGGTGCCATGGAGGAGTGAGCATCCCCTGCCGATTGGTCACACCCGCCATGTGATCCTTGTCATGATCGGGAAAAACGGGAAATTCAGTAAACAATTCAGTGTGTAAATAATGACCTTACAATTAGTATGAAAAACGTCAGTCAGCATTAGACTTAATGATAGGTTGTATTTGGTGACAAGGTCATTGTATCGACCATAAAACTTACGAAATGATGACTTCAAAGGAGACTGTTGATATCTTTGTTTCATTAACTTGTTTGTCAATAGCTTGCCTCATTTCAGAAATTGTTCATATGTAGAGGATGCTCTTGCGTATTGAATCAACTGAGAGACATAAACCCCATATGCAGGTGATAAGGGTATATTGCTACATAAGTAGGCTGATGATTGAAAAGTTGAAGTCATCACGTTTATCATAATTTTTTGTTTTAAGGTTACCATTAACGTCTTTTGCTAGTATGTTATTCATAAAATTCTATCGAAATGTTTTAGAAATATTTCAAATTTGTGCCCATGCCTCTATGCGTTTTTCGATAAATTTGCTACCACCTGGTTAACTCTCCTCGATTTGAAAACCTCATTTGTGTGTTTTTCAAATTTAAAGAAACGAAGGAACATTTTAAAGAATGAAGAGAAGATCCATGCAGATACCATAAACATTAACTTTATGAAAAAAGGCATTTTAAATACGATGCTTCCTCGTTTTAAAACCCAAAAAGTATGAAGAGACGATAGCACAGTGATATACGTTACATGTCTATGAAAGTGAAGAATCGTATTTTTTTTTGTTCGATCTTCGCATGGAGAGTTTAATTTTTTTTTTTTTTTTTTTAATTTTTTTAGCAATCAATCAAATTGTTTTTCAGTCTGATTTTTAAAAATATTTTTTTGTACCGAGAGCGAAAGCAATTATTCCCAACCACTGATGTCTAATACATTTGCATTTTTCTATGCCCTAACATATTACAATACTTGTTTATTTATTATGTGAGGTGCAGACTCAAATATAATTGTAGTGCAATGTTTTGACTATGTATTTTAATATGACGTTACATTTTCCTGTGTGTGTTTCTTCGTAAAGTTTGTCTAGCTGTTGTCAGCTGATCGAATCTCCATCTTGACAGGACATTTAAATTATGAATAATTCGTTCACACAATACTGATTGTCTTCTTTATTTCAATTTGATGAAATGTCGTATTTTAATTTAGGTATGTGGCGATATCTTTCTCGTTGACAAGAGGCATGAAGAGAGACAAAAACGGAGCGCTGCTGAAAAAGGACTAATGCAATCCCCTCGAATGTTTGCTTTAAGAAAGGTATCTAAGACCGTCCCAAATAACCCGCCATTCATTACAACAACTGAAATTCAGTACGAAGAAGATGTAACATCGTCAAAGTTAATCAAAGTGGGTGATCCAGAGAATGACTCACTATCTATCATATTAATCAAGTCACCAATACATGGATCGGCAAACCTTACAACAGATGGTGTTCTAACTTACCTATCTCGCCGAGACTTCAATGGAGATGACGCCATAACTGTAAGAGTCAGCGAAGTCAATGTCACATCTCCACTGATACCTCTCCAAATCGAAAAGAACATCATAATAACAGTTCTTCCACAAAATGATGAACCTATTTTGACATTTAAACAACGATATCTTAACATGAATTGCACCAAAAACAACATAACTTTGGAAGTTCTTTTGAATGGAAATGAAACTAGACATATCTTCTTTGGATTTCTCATATTGGACGATGTAGACAGCAATGACACTGTACATCTAGGGACTAAGCACAATAGCACTTCTGGTAGTTATTTCTTGCTTGAAAAACAAAGGGACAATGAGGCGATTGATGGTCATACCGGCATTCATAGGGAATATAGCATCAAGCAACACATACACAAGTCATTCAGTGGCCTTGCAGAGTTTGCAGCCCGTGCCCATGATGAATTTGATGGAGGAAAAGTTTCTTTCAGCAAGGAATTTAGGATCAGCACTTACATTCTAATTAATCCCTGTATTCATGGCCTTTGTGCAAATACAAGCAATGTTCCCTGCATGGACAAATCACGAGCTTTCAGTTTCGAGAATTATCGTTGTGATTGTTATCCAGGATATCGAGGTGAATGGTGTCAGGAAGACATCAATGAGTGCATTCCAAATCCCTGTTCTGTATTCTACGACTGTAACAATTTAATTGGACGGTATAATTGCACCTTGAATGGAGCCAAATCCTTTGGCCTGGCTGTAGGATTCTTTGTTATTATGGCTACAGTTGTCCTTCTGATAAGACGCTGTATCCTGCAAAAGCGACCTCTGAACAACAAAATCGCACCAATCAATATCTGGTGAGTTGTTAAATATCTATTTGGGCGAAGTTTATTTCATATAATATGCTAATATAGAGAATATTCAAAAGTTTGTGGTTGGATATAAAATCTATTTCACTGTTGAAGGGTTATTTTATATTTTCGCAAGTGAGAAACATGAGTAAAAATATCAAAAAATCCTGTCTCAAGAGTGAAATATATCAGATACAACTACAGCATATTGAATTTTCTGTTTATCACACTTTCCTCATTGATTGTCATAGGTAGTGATATTATAGTTTAGGGTTAAGACGTCATAACTTAGCCATTGTGAAATTGAAAACATGGATATCAACATATTTGGAGAAACGTAGACAGTTTTAGTCTATGTCAAGATGGTATATATACTCTCTACATCCTATATAGAGCATGAGTATTTTGGACACAATTCTTCTTGAAAGGAAAGAAAATTAAGTTTTGAAGCACCTCTGATATTCTTTTACACTGTGACGTAATGACACTTTGATATCCTTTCACACTGTGACATAATATCACTTTTATTTTTTAAAAAAATACATTACAGTATTTCACTGTTGAAAATGTAATTAACTGCCATATATATCTGAATTCATTCCTATTTTTAGGGAATCTTAAGGGATAGAATTGAAAACGTAAATTCTGAAATGTATAATCATGGTTTATCTTATCTTTATAATTTAATTATTACAATTTTGTTTCCATCAGGGATGAAACTATGACTCGAGGGAACTCTGAGATAAATGAATTTCCTCTAGATAGGCTAACCGCTGAGCTGTCAACAGCACAACCGGCCAAATCTGCCTCTACAGAAAAAAATAACAAGCATTTGTTTTTTAAACGATACAATCTGATGGACACTGTAGGTCATGAGGTAAAGGGTGGGTCAGAAAGTCTGCATGAAATTGAAAACGATAAAGACTTCAATACAGTCGAAAACCAGCGAAGTAGAAGAACTAGGTTGGTGGAGGAGGAGATACAGACCATGTTAGCACCCCTGTCATCTTACAGTTCCTCTGTTGGAAAGAGTCTTCCGCCTCACCTACAGAAAGCGCACATGGAGAAAAGCAGGAGTCACGACAGCCCAAAGTCCTCCCAGGCATAAAATAAACCCACAAGAAAGCGGATTTAATTATCTTTTATCTTTTTTCATATATTTAACCAGATCTTGTACTCTAAATGTGGAATCATGTTGACTAGCATTAAACTGACTTGCATTTCTATTGTTTTTTTTTTATTTTGAATGTTTTATCCAGTAAAGAGAACTACGTGTAGAATTTATCGTAAACCAGGCAATGTAAAAGCCGTAAATCAAAGGATTCGTGCATTCTTTAGAAATACATGTAATATTTTCAGAAGAAGAGGAGTCATAAAAAAGGACAATAAATTTTCTAAAGGAAACACAGTCATTGTTATATCCAATAGAACATGTATGCCATAAGTATTTTATCTTAAATCGAGAAGAGTTCTGCTATGATTAAATTTAACTAGTGATTACAGTAAATTTTTGGTTATCTGTACCAACCCTATCATGGGGACTATTTGGCATGTAAGACTATATATATCACTCCTGATATATATCACTCAGGTGTACTCTAACAGACAGTTTTGGGTATGCTTATCTGTACCCGGAGCGACCAGCTGATAAGGGTTTTTTATTGCATATGACGAAAACGGCTAAAAACTCGCACATTTTCCCTACATTGCAATCTTCCTGTTTGATTTTACATGTTTTATGTAATATTAAAAAGAAGAAAGATGATACTTGCATTTTTTCGGAGTTTTATATTTCTATCTTTGTGGATGATAGCCAAAGGACACTCAACTAAAGGTAATGATACTACTGAAGGTAATACAATTCTCTTCTTTTATATAATTCAACTTCCCAGAAGATATTATGTTTTTCCAAAATGCATAAGGAAACTGTAAATGTCATTTTCTCTAGCCAAGGATTTTCTGTCCACTGTGAAGAGAGGACAAGATAGATAATCATTTTAAGTAAAACTGAAATTGTCTATTCCAAGTTTATCTGGAGGATTACTGTGGTAAGACCTTGATGCTCCCAGGGTCCTTTACGCGTCTGAAGCTGACAAGAAGGGATGACTACCCAGACAACTTTAACTGCACAGCCTCTGTTGTTACCTCTGACGTGACTCATTCTGGAAATCCCTCGCGCCTGATGGTGGTTGTCCATAAACTAGAGACGATATGTCCCGGGGATAAACTTAGGCTGCTAGATGGAAACACGTCTACTCCTCTGAAAGGTTAAAAATAGATTAAGACTTACTAGTATTCATTTGTGATGTTTATCTCATATGATGGTTTCAGATTACGTCTTTGTGTTGTTATGGTTCTTAATAATATTCTGAAATTAGAAAGATTTTGGTTATGAAAAATGATCATGAAATATGAAGATAACGAACAGTATTCAAGCTCAAAGTCCATCAAAACAATACAAATCGGTAGCAGAGCAAACAATGACCTCCAAAAACAGAGGTGGGATCAGGTGCCATGGATCAGTGAGCATCCCCTGCCGACCGGCCACACCCGCCTTGTGCTTCTTTTCATGATCGGTAAATAACGGAAAAATCCGTCAACAATTCAGTGTGTAAATAATGGCCTAACAATTAGTATGAAAAACGTCAGTCAGCATATGACTTAATGATAGATTGTATTTGCTTATAAGTTCATTGTATCGACCATAGATGACTTTAAACGAGACTGTTGATATTCTTGTTTCATCAACTTGTTTGTCAATAACTTACCTCGTTTCAGAAATTGTTCATACGTAGAGCATGCTCTTGCTTATCGAATAAATTGAGAGATATATACCCCATATGCAGGTGATAAGGGTCTAGTAAAATATCTAAATATGAAACAGGTGTGTCATACTTGGTGGTATCTTTTATTTCAAGCTCGCTGGGATAGATCGTGCCGACATATGAATGGAAATAACTTAATTGATAATACGTCGTCGATATATCTAAATGTCGAGTTGAAGGCCACAGCAATGAGATTTTTTTTCCTCATGTATAAGATTTTGAATATATTCTGCTTCATATGAATACAAAAATAGGTCTGCTAACCACGGGGCGCAATTAGTACCCATGCGAATTCCAAAAGATTGTTGGAAGACCTGGTCTCCAAACACCACATAGATATTGTCAATCAGAAACTCAAGCATTTTGTAATATCAACTTCAAAGTACTTGTGTGTACAATCAGAATGTTTTAACAAGATAATTTTGCACCACGGAGTCTGACTGAACTGCTTTATATTTGGATATTTTACTAGAAAAAAACTTGATGACTTCCACTTTTCTATCGTCAACTTCCCTTATTCATATTACAAAATATACCATTATCACCTGCATTTGGAGTTGTCCTCCGGACACGAACAATTTCTAAAACGAGGCAAGCTATTGACAAATTATAATAACAACAGTCTCGTTTAAGTCAACATTTCGCAAGTTTTATGGTTGATACAATAACCCCTCAGCAAATACATTTATCATTAAGTCCAATGTTGACTGACGTTTATTCAAGACATGCAAATTGTTAAGCCATTATTTTCATACTGAATTGTCTACGTTTTTTCCGTTTGCCCGATCACGACAAGGAGCACACGGCGATTTACTCCAAATCTGTACAGTTTCAATGGACCTTTGAGCTTGATTACTGTTTGTTATCTTCATATGAAACATATGGAGACAACGAACAGCACCCAAGCCCAAAAGTCCATCAAACAATACAAAATAGGAGCAGAGCAAACACGGACCTCCAAACACCAGAGGTGGGACCAGGCGCCACGGAGGAGCGAGCATCCCCCGCCGACCGGCCACACCCGCAGCGCGCCCCCTGCCACGATCGGGAAATAACGGAAAAATCCGTCGACAATCCAGTGTGTAAATAATGGCCTAACAATTAGTATGAAAAACGTCAGTCAGCATCTGACTCAATGACAAATTGCACTTGTTGACAAGGTCACTGCATCGACCACAGAACTTACGAAATGATGACCCTAAACGAGACAGCCGATACTCCCGCCTCATCAACCCGTTTGTCAACAATTTACCTTGCCCCAGAAATTGTTCATACGCAGAGCATGCCCCTGCGCATCGAATCAACCGAGAGACACATACCCCGCATGCCGGCGACGAAGGTACATTGCTGCACAAGCAAGGGAAGCTGACGATTAAAATGTCAAAGCCATCACGTCTATCATAAAGCTCGGCTGTTAGACCATTATTTCATTATTTCATACATATACTTCGTTTCAGAATCAAATAAGGGCCAGAAGAGAGATCTGGGCGTCACTCAAAATGTATACTTAGTTTGTACAAAACAAATACATGACAGTTTCAAATGTTTCTTTGCTGCTTTTATTATCAGATTTTTTTTTTTGACTTAGCATTATACTTCTGTGGAAAACATGAACCAGAGCAGGCAATGTACACCGTCGCTTCGCAATTGACTGTCAACTTTGAAAGTGACGCTTCTCGAAATGATGATGGATTTGAACTGTATATCACACGTTTCCATTTAGGTAAAAATATTCTCTTTAAAACCTAAATATTTTAATGTATCAGGGATTTTAAGATAGCCATGCATACATTTATAATTAAGTTGGCCTAATGATTGTGCTCTTATTTAGGTATTTGTGGGGATGACGAGTTCCGGTGTGCCAAAGGACCATGCATCGATAAATCGCTGCATTGTGACGACTATGACCAGTGTGGGGACGATTCAGACGAGTGTGAAGGGAAGTCCGGACTGGTGGCTGCCATAATTGGAGCTATGTGTCTTGGCTCACTACTCACCCTGATCGTTTTATGCTGCTGTTGCCCTAAATATCGCATATGTTGCAACAAATCAAAAACACAGGGCCATGTACAACGTACAAGATTAACGGTATGATGTTTTTACGCAGTTATTTTACGACACGACATCATGTGACGTAGGTGGTTAAAATTTCATGGAATAGAGAGTTTTACGTCTGATTTCGAGAACAAATTATATACCAGTAGAGATAAACTTAACTTGCTAATTCAAAACAAATACTCTTATCAACATATTTTACAGAAAAGAAAAATTCATTCGTTGCCGTTAAACGACGCCAAGATGACAAAACCAGACATAGTATTGTCGATGCCACCTTCACTTAAACAGGAACCACCACTTTATACTCTTTCACCACCTGCATATTCGGTGGTGGTCAACGATACATCAGTGGATGGAAGCGAAGGACCGCTACCAACCAAAACCCCCATCAACTAGAAAATATGTTAGCTATTCTAGAGTGATTTATGATTAGTATCTTATGTGTTATGACAGCTCTGATAAACATTATACTCGTGGATGTATAGTATGATGTTTCTTTTGATAATATTTGATACTTGTGTTAAATATTACATTAATAACAAAACGTAACATGCTGATTACAAAGTATGATAAACATAAAATCAATTAAAATGAGATGCAAAAAGGAATTTCTGAACCTTTCTTTTTTTACGATTACTGACAATGAATCAACAATAAAAGATTCTGAATAACTCTTAACAACATGACATAAACAGCAAAATTTACTTTTATTCCTTTGTGAAAAAGATTCTAGAAACTACAGGCAAAAAGAAAAAAATGTCACTATTGACTGTAGGAGATAAATCACTCCAATCATTAGCGCATTGGATTTTCTTTGCAGTTTAAAGAACACAAAAATTTTATTCACATCTACTGTGAAATCACTAATTTTATTGAGGGCTTAATTTTCGTTGCTTTCGTGGTATGAAGAAACCCACAAAATCATGTCCTCCACAAAATGTAAAATTTCTAATAAATAATAACTAACACTTCATCATCCACGGAATCGAATCCCCATGAACCAATGTTCTACCTCAAACCACAAAAATTTGACCCCACGAAAATATGTAACTTTACAATATTCATTATATCTGCTCCTGTTATGATATGGTCCTTAAATTTGTGTATAATTATAAAGGGAAAATACCTTACGAACAAAAGTCTATTTTTCTTATTTGCCAAAATTGTGACGATTTTTTAAAAAATGTTAAAATATCATTTTTCACTTGAAAAAGAAAAGGTTGGC